AAGTTTTTTTTTTCAATTTTAAATATGGAAAATGTTATTTACATTGTCAAATTTTACTAGAGATAAACATGCCACCAATTTTAGTTATAACAAATTATCGATATCATAATTGCGGTTGACTGTCAATGAGCGATTACTAAATACTCAGAGACAAGTGTCGATTGTTGCCAATAAGAGAACGACTATTTGATAGGTATTGGTCATTGACAACGATAATCAATCTGTAGTGACTCATATCCTTATGATTCACGGGCACTCATCGATTATCGTCAAACAAGAAAACAACCGTTTAATATATATTAATGAATGATATTGTTGAATATATTTTTTTGATAAACAAATTTCACGAAATAGTTTTTGATAAATTTATTAGGAAAAAGTTGTCTATGGATAATTAATAGTGCACACGTGATGTGTTTAAAAACAAGATTTGGGCCATTAATGCGTAATTGTTAAAAATAAAAATAAAAATTGCACCTTTACGTCCTCAATTTTTACGAAATGTAATAAATCTATTATCAACATTTTTATTAGCTTATAATTCATCCCCCCAACGTTTCAATTACATAGCAAAACTCGTCATTGCCTCCACTTTAATCATTAAATGACAAATTTGCCCTTTCTTTATATAAAGAAATCATTGAAACAACGGAAAATAAGAAAAAAGTGAAAATGAAGTCTCATAACTTTTAAAAGGATTTAAATAAATCTCACTTTAAATATTTTTATAATAAAGCACCATCGCATCCCATTGAGATTTTTATGCTCCACCTAGCCACGATAGAAGGGGTTAGGATTCCCCTACCATGATATAAATGGAACATAAACTATTACAATGGAAGGGCATAAACTTGCCTCCAATCAAAAGCATAAAAGACGAAAACGATAAATATATTATCTCTTGTACAAATATAAAGAGTGAATCAATAAAGCATACTTGAGATTTGGTTTTCACTCTCTAGTCAATTTTTTTAAATGTAGTTGTGGACCATTTAAACCTAAGCCTCTTCTTGTTGGCTCTGCCTAATCTCATTTTATGTTGTCTGGTGCACTTCTTTATGTCAATGGTTTTGTATTACCCAGTGAACTCTTATTTGTTACTTGATTCTTATGCATCTTTAGATTCCTTGGGCTTTGTTGTGCTCTTGTAATATCCCCTTACAAATTTGATAGCTCAAGAATAGCTGACCAAGAGGGGATGAATTGATTTTTAAAACTTTTTTCAAAAAAATAAAAATTGATCTAAAATTAAGCACGTAATAACTAGATA